CCCCCCCCCCCCCCCCCCCCCCCCTCCAGGGCCAAGAAGGAAACCTCCCTGCCGCCACAGAGGCGCTTTTCACTGCCTCTCCTCTCCGCCGGCACTCAGAGTAAGGTGGGGGCTCCTTTCTCCCCCACCCCCACCCTGCCTTTATTTCTCCTTTTCTCTCTTTCTCAAGGCTCAAGAATGCTCAGAGCTTCTTTAATTGGTTTGCAGCACCAGTGCCAGGTGTGGCCTCTTGTTATTGCCCCAGTGAGAGTCTGGGGGAGGTCTGGCCCGCAGCACAATCGCCATTCCTCCCCTATTCATCGCCACAATGCACTTTCTTCAGACCAGCACTTTTCAAAGTCCTGCCGATTAACTGGACGGCTAATAAATGGCATTCACATATTATTTTTTCCAGCAGCCTAAAAGCCCTTATTTGCCTTCATTAGTTTTTGGGGTGCGTTCCTGTGGATTCCGTTAAAGCTTGTAGCAAGCACTTTGTTTCGAAGAGTGCGGACAGATAGATTCTGAGCTGTTTCTGAGAATGCTGCAGAAATGAGGCTTGCACAGTTTTATATAGGCAATATTATGGCAACACTGCTGTGAAACATCTGCTCAAAACAGGGTGTGAAGTAAGTTTGTAAATTCTCTGACCTGGAATAATCTAATGATTTGACTCCTTGTCCAAATTATTATATTGCTTTTTAAGTGTTACTGGCACTGTTCTCTCCTACCGGAATTTAATCTTTCCGTACTCCACAATCCACAGTGTGCTCCACAAAATTGGTGGAGCTGCAGTCACCTCTTTTCTCCCAGATCCCTTTGCTTATGGGTAGTTTTCTTTTTAAAATGTTGTGCACACAATTGGCTGTTTGCAGCACCCTTTTTTAACAACACACCTGCCTGTCATCCATTCCAATAGCTACAGGTGCAATGTGCAATGTGACCTCTGTGCATCCCGATACAGTCTTCCTATTTTCAAAGTGGTGTATTTCTGTAGAAGACAAGAAAACACTTTTTGCCACGCTGCAGAGAAAATCTCTGGGTGGTGTCAGCAGTACTGGAGACAGAGTGGATCACACCTCCGGTTATCTATTCCCAGTTCTTTCTGGTCTCAGCTGGGAATGGAGCCGATGATGCTAGGATCCGTGGATGACTTTCAGATCTTTCCTTTTTTCATACAATCCATGATCTTTTTGCTTGCCCCAAATAAACTCCAGCAAATCTTTCCAAAATCCATTGATCTCAAGGTACATATAAGTTTCTCTTGTTTTCCATAGTTCGCTTGTTTTTTTACCTCCAGTAAACATCTGCGAGCTTCCCTGTTCGGCTTGACCTGGGATTTGCTCATGCCCTCGTGCTTTGATGTTCCCCTGCAGGTGATCGACGGCAAGCTGGCCCCTTTCCTGTCCAAGGTGATCAAGTTTGCCAGCTCTCACGTGTACAGCTGCAGCCTGTGCAGCCAGAAGGGCTTCATCTGTGAGCTCTGCCAGAACGGGCAGATCATCTTCCCCTTTCAGAACGCGGCCACCAAGCGGTAAGCCAGGGTGCCTGATAAACATGCACTAGTTCGCCTGAGACGCCCCACGTGCCCCAGGAAACACCAGTGTGCAAATAGTACTCAGAGTCACAGGCGCAGGTTGTACGTGTGCGTGCTCACTCACGCGCACCCATCCCGAGGCGAACCAACCCACAGACAATTCCATTATTAAAAAGTCATCACTGCACAGAAACACAGGCCCCCGCTTCTGCGTAACTAGCAGTGGTTTCCTTCTCGGCATTTGGGAGCCCCTGTCCAGATTGTCTCCGCATTCCACGGGGGTGAGCGATTACAGAGCACAGCCACTCCTCTGCGGGCGCAGGCTGTGGCCCCCCATGTCAGGGCCCATCGCCCAGAGCTCTCTCAGCCATCCGATACCATCTCACGGGAACGGATACAGCTATTAATACCTGAGTCGGGCAGAGTCAGGCTGAGCAAGGTGGCCTCTGGCACCATGCGGCTTATGGCTGCTGCCGGCCAGGAGCTCCGAGAGGACGGGACCCTGAGCTGGGTGCTTCTGTGCAAACTTTCTCCATCTTCCCAGTGGGTGAATAAGTGACCTGCTTCCATTCCAGATCTGTGTTGAAGTATTCCACTGTTTTGTTTGTTTTACCATAACAACTGGGGCCACAAACAGTCTCAAGCTGTTTACCATCACATGAAGATGACTTCTGCTTTTCTCTGTAGTAAGATAAGTTGTGAATGTAGCAATGTGTCAGAATGCTGTCCTAAAAGTGTTGAGTGTAGGAGTCTTTTAAGCCATTAGTATATTTCATTAGAAATTTCTTTATATGTAGAACCTTACTAAATTCTTAGTTAGTTTTGTATATTTCCCAGTGGTTGCATTTTAAAATGTCCAAAGTCTTAAATTTTACAGCATTGTAACAAAACCTGAACATATTTAAAAATGGCAAAAATAGAAAACATGTATAACCCCAAATTTACTGACAGCAATGCACTTTAAGGTCTTAAGATGCAGTAGCATTTGGAAATATTGGTTATTAACAGATCACAGTCTTTGCTTCTTTAAGTCCTTAAGTTCCTCCTGCTAGTTTGCTTTGAGACTTTAATGACCCGTTCAAGGTCCGTGTTGAGAGAGTGCAGGACAGGCTGACCCATCTTACTGTAGGTAACCAGTTGACAGGGATGCAGTTAAGAAGATAGATCTTCATATTAGTTACTGATTCACAAACAGAAGAGAGGGTGCACACGAGAGCCGGCCATCTGGCACAGGGCACCATCCTCGACAGCATGGCAAAGGCATGAGCGTGGTGGCTGGAGCATCCTCTGCTGGACCAGAACCTTCGTTTTGTGCTCCTGGATAGTCTGAGTTCTGTGAAGGCTGTACTGCCAGAGGGCAGTACTGCTGGTGTTGACGTGCTGTGTGAGGAACAGTGTAGGACTCTGCCCCTCCTCCGTTTCCTTATGAGCAGAAAACAAAGGAAGGGCAGGTTTCTAACGTGATCTGTTGCGCGTTCAGTTTACGGCGCTTTTTGGTGAAAAGGAATAAAAAAAAATCTCTTCCCTGTTGCATAGCCATACCCAACTCTTTGGAGTCTGTGCCAGGACTAGATTACTGTCCTGCGAGATTGCTGTGACTCTTTGCCACTTCAGTGCGCTGTTTATATTGTGAGCTGAAACAGGTGCAGAGGGAACGTGTTGGAATGTCTCCTGTGCCTGAGGCCCCATGACTCGTGGCAGTGGTTCCCAGTCCTGGTCCTGGTCCCCCACACACACCTGCTGGTTTTATTTGTTCCAGCCGAGCCCTCGGTTACACAATCAAACCCTTCGTTGACTGAACAACGAGATTAATTGGAACAGTTTGTTCCCAGCTCTTGAACATGTTGGACCTGTTGTTTTTTTGTAAGCAAAATACAATCACCAAACCGGTCACAAGAGTTGAAATATAAAACATTCAGTTGTAGCGACGTCTTAGGTCGAGGAAGGCCTCAATGATCTAATGAAGGTGGGCGGGAATGGAAACCAGCAGGCGTGTGGGGCATCAGGACCAGGGTTGGGAACCGCTGACTCATGGGAACAGTGCGAGAGCAGTCTTCTCTAGCATGGTGGTACAGTTGGTCTGTGGAGAGGCAGCAGCCTTTACTCTCCTGTATCCTCATGAAGCTTAGGAGCCGAGAGCTTCATTATCTAGATGGGCAATAAGTCACCCAGACTTCTGCCCAGTGTATGGGTTTGATGACACAGCCAGGGATCGCGACAAGAGCGAATAACTGTTTTTTTTTTTCAGATTTTGAGCTCCAGCCCGCCTTTTCTGAAGCTGCACGTGTGTCTTGGGGTACCTGCCTAGAACTCGGGGCCCCCGCTTTCGGTGTGACCCGAAGGCTGGCCGCTCCTCTGGGCAGCGGCACGAAATAAAACCCAGTCCAGAAGAACGCGTGAAGCCTGTTCTGCCTGTGCCTGGTGTCTGGAAACGCACTGACGCCCCCCTCTCTCTGTCTCCCCCCCGTGTCCTGAAGGTGCGAGGCCTGCGGCGCGGTCTTCCACGCGGAGTGCCGCTCGCGGGCCCGGCCCTGCCCGCGCTGCGTCCGCCGGGAGCTGCACGAGAAGCCGCCGTCCTTCTGGAGGAAGCGGGAGGCCGAGGAGAGCGGGGCCGGTGGCGACTCCTTCGGCTGCTTCGAGCTGCCCTTCCAGGACACCTGAGGGGGGAGCCTGGAGGTGTGTGCGGCGTGTGGGCGTGCCTGGGGCCTGGCCGTGTGGGAGGAGTTCGGGTCACTGGACAGTCCCGTCCCCCCCCGGTCTGGCCTGGCCGGACCGGCCTGTGCTCTCGAGCCTGCGTGAGTCACCCCGGCACCTCTCCCACGCAGCACCGCCCTGCTTCCCGAGACTCTCTGCTTCCCCTCCCCCGAGGGGGGTGCACTCTGTAACAGCCGCCAAATTACCCGGGAGGTTTCAGCGCCTTTCATCTTCGAAAATTGCGGCATCCATCAGCCGTGACAAACACAACACAACCGCGACGCGGAAAAAGGGAAAAACAGTTCTGAGGGATGTGAACTGGCGTTTTAATTAAGGGGGAAGAGAAGGAAAGTGCAGCATGACTTGTAGGAGGCCCGAAAGGCAGCCAGCTGACGAGCCTGGGATAAAACCCCGGGCCCAGCACCTGGGTGCTCTCCTAGAATTCGGGACGGTTTTTATTGGATTCCATAAACCAGAGCCGTTTCCGAATTGGTGCCCAGAGTATTCAAATGGACTCCTGAACGCAGCGCAAGTAGCAGTGAACACGCCCCGGCTCTGAGGCCGGCCGGGGGCACTGCTGGGGTCGGAGGTCAGCACATCTTGTCTGTGCCAGAGCCGCTGGGAAGAGGTGAGCCAGCCGGAGAGCGATGGACCAGTCCTGGAGTAGAGAGCTGTTGTGACACGGAGACCAGCATGCTTTGTGCTAAAGAGACAGGTGCTCATCTGACCATCTCCAACAGTCAAGGCCACGATGAACCATGGGACCTCCTTGGGTTTTGTTTCATGATCAAATGAAATCGAGGAGGGACGTCGTCTTTCTCATTCCCCTTATTACCAGGTCTCCAGACAGTGAGGGGGATTTCTGGGTTGCCCTTTCCAGGTGTGGAGTTGGGGAATTGCTCAGCAGATGCTCGGAGGCTGTCATCACATCTAGGTGCCATCACCCCGCCACAGCACCGCGCTCCTGGGGCGCTGGGCTGGCACCGACTGGTAAAGGAGTTCACAACATGTGGGCAACCCCCATCCGGCTCAGAAACCTCTGTATTCAGTTTTCATTTGCTGCAGCCAAAAAGCAGTGCAGCTCTGCTCCTGGGTTAAGGCAGAGTGGGAGTTTAGCCTGTGTGCATGGCGTTGTCGTGTGACCTAGCTGATAGGCTCAGATGATATGACATTCAGGAATGAGGGGCTCTTTAATCAATAAGGGCACACTTGACGTCGGCGCCTCCAGGAGTAGCAGTGTTGCAATGTTTGAGGGTGAAATTGGAATGCGTGTTCTGAAACATCCCCTGGGGGCGACGTGGGTGTGCAAACAGAGGTGGGGTGTGCTGGCCGAGCTCTTGTCCTGCTTGTTGTTGTCGTCAGGTCTTTGCTCTCGAGGGGGGGAATCCCCACCTTCCTGGTTTCAATGGAGGTGAGAGCTCTGTGACTAGAGTGCTTATGAAATTAAAAAATTGAAATCGAAAATGAAATTCTGAGAAACGGTGCCTGCAGGTTCAAAGATGTCCATCAAACGTGGCATTTCTGCTACTTTAAACAGAACTGAAGACTGGCTTTTATACCAGCGATGGTCTGCCTTATGCAGTGTGTTGTCAGAGCACCATGGGAACCCCCCAATCTGTCTCTGATGACCCCCAGGGCCTCCTGGACTCCAGATTTGGGGTGTATTGTGTGTCTAAGTACTCACTTGGGACGTCTGGGTCACCTCTCCTGATCTTACCCCTTTTCTGCTCCCAGACAGGAGCAGCAGCGGCACACAGGCAACCAAAGCTTCAGTCTGGGCTGAATGGGACTCAGCTGAACGGGTCCCCACTGGGAGGGAGCTGAGGGCCGAGGTCTCCTGAGGAAGCTCTTTCCCCGTCTCCTTCATCTCTCTGTACAGATGCTACACGTCTGAGTTGTTCTTTCTAAATACTTGAAACTTGGGCAATAATGTACTGTGTGCTTTATGACTATGAGGTGTGGTGCTTTATTAATTTTGTTGAAAGGCTTGAGGTTTTAACTTTCCCCTATGCAACCATTACTGGCCTTGTGCATTTGTATTGATCCAGGAGTGCTTGACGTGTCCTGGTGCCTTCTCTGTCCGCTCGGTGTTGACTCGTCTCCTGGCGCAGTTTCCTGTATCTCAGTGTGGTCATCCTGTCTCCCAGAAGACCCAGAGGTGGGGGAGTCATCTGTATTTGCCTGTTCCAATGTTCCCTACCCAGCTGGCCCGCCTGCTTTTCTGTTTTTACCACTAAGGACAAGTAGTACCTATTGGACAAGCTCTGGTTTTTGTTGGAGTCTATCAATTGCTGTAAGACTCCATGTGTGCATCTTTGTTGCTGAGGAAGGTGTTGGAAAGGACTGACTCCTTGCACACCTCCTTGTTGCCCGCACCTGCTCCGAAGCCAATGGCATCGCTACTGCCTGGCAGGCCTGATGCCACGGCAGCGCTCTCTCTCTCTTTCTCGCGTGCGCAGACAGACAGACGGGCAGTCCGCGGGCCGGGCCAGGCAGTGGTCTCGGTGTGCTGCCTCTCAGCTGCGGCTCTGCCGGCCTGCTGATGCCCAGGCTATCAGAAACGCAGAGGGGTGTAGGAACAGAGCCTCTCAGTGCAGGATCTCAGGTCGCTTGCCAAGCTGATCCAAAGAAGCCTAACCTGGAGCAGTGAGCAGTTATTCAGCACACACACTGCTGGCACATCCTGGAAGAGCAGGGGACAGTTATGACCATTTATACAGGTTCTCGAAAGTGTAGCCCGCCCACTGATGCAGCTGCATTTCCCAGTCAAAAGGGAATTTCACGTTCAGAGAGTCGCACGAGCGCTGGCTCGGGTTCTTCCGATTGCCCAGCGAGCTTCAAGGTGCACATTCGGCATCTGTCCCGGCCTCGGCAGCTGCTCGTCAGGGTCAGGACGTGGCCCTCTTAGAGACCATGTCAGCTGGCTGGAGAGGAGTGCGGTGGTTTGTTGGTTTGCTCGCCGAGACGTGTGGCGATGGTTCTCTGGAGCTAGAGGAGGTGGCACTCATGTTGGACAGGAGCAGAGAGCCAAGAGAGCTCCAGCTGGCTGTCCCGTGGGAAGTGTCTTTTTACTGGGGGGGGCGACTCGAGGTGCAGTCAGGGTTTGATCTTTTACGAACAAAACCATTAGATCCCCACGTCACAGAAGATGAAAGGGAACTTTAAAGTCCACCATGGCTTTCTTTACCTTTAACCATAATACTTGCTCTAAGATGGCAACACGCGTGTGTTCTTGTTGAAAGCAGTGTAAATATGTGGGCTGGCGTGGGCGGGAGGAGTGTGCCGCTTTGTACCGCGACTTTCTGGGCTCTCCCTGTGGGTTCGCCAGCCTTCTGCCTTCGTGCAAGAGCAAGGGCAGGGGGGCAGCCTGCACCGGGTCCCCCGATGGGGCCCCGGACTGGCTCAGTCTCTCCCTAGGGGGACGTCCCATCTGGCTGCTGGGTATGGGGCACAGAGAGGGGACCCGAGGCTCTGCCTCCTCCAGGATCTGACCAGGTGCTGTGCTCCCACTGACGATAATAATTCAGCTGTGACGAAGCCAGAAAACTAATGGCGGACAGTGGGGATTTATGGTACCATTCTTTGTGTTCGGAGGGGTACATACAGTTTGTGAGCAAACGCAAAAGCAGAAATTGAGGGGTTCCCCAGATGGGGGGCTGGGGTGCATGTGTCGATGACCCCCCTGCCCTTTGCTTTTTCTGCAAGGATGGAGTTTGTTGCGTTGCTGTGAGGCTCGGAGCACGCAGGTGGTTGTGGGAAGCCGAGGTGGGCGTCCTGGCTCTCTCCCAGCCAGGGAGGGAGGAAGGGCGGGGTCACCCCTGTGTTGTTCACACGCAGGGGGAGGGACAGGCTTTCCCCGGAAACCAGGCAGGCGGGAGAGGGCTGGGCGTCAGGATGGGAGCAGCCCAGACACTACTCTTCCAAAACCGCTGTGACAGAACGACACAGTCAGGGACCCTCAGTGCTTCAGCTTGAGTCGTGGGCGAGGGGGTGCTCAGGCGTGTAATACAGGTCTGGTGTACGGGTAACTATACGTCTTCTGGAGGAGAACTAGCTTCACTCCTTGTTTTGAGCACTGCTGACTTTGAATCACTTAGCATTTCTGGGGTTTTAAAGATAATGTGGACACAACTGGTGCGTTTCTCATGTGTTCTTTCCTATTTATTCGTATTTATTGTATTTGCGTTTTGAGAGCTGCTGGGTTCTAGTAAAGGCTTTCCCTGTTCCTGTGAATGACCTGTATTTTATGTGTTACGTCGACAACATGTAGCAGCTGATTTCTTGAGCAAGTAGAGAGACTGTTTAAAAACCTTTTTTTACCACTGAGGCAAATAAATTGCTTAACACCATCATTTCGATTTGCTGTCTTCATTGTTTTTAACTTCACAATTCAGTTTGCAGGCTAGAAAGGCCGTGTTCATGTACCCCTGATCTCGTCGGCATCGCGCACTCTGCAGGGCTGTTCTGAGACCTCGACGGAGCCCCAGCGAGTTCTCTGAAGCAGCGCTTGGGGGAGGGGCTCGGGATCAAGAGGCTTTAAAAACCTCCAACCGGCTGTGTCCCACCTCGTCAGGTGGCCTTGGGTGAACCTGTACCTCGCGACTCGGCCAATTCACGCCAGGGTCTCGCAGCAACTTTATTCTTATTGTATTCAATAAACAGACCCAAGAGCCGCAGTGGTGCTCTCCCTGCCTGGCCGAGCTCTGAAGCCGGCGTGGGGAGACCTGGGCACGGGGCCGCTCGCTCCTGGCCTGCACAAGGCTGTAATTCTACCCACTCGGACACCAGCTCTTATTTACACAGGGATTCCACTGGCCGTCGAAGGGTTTACCACGCTGACGGGCGCATCCTCCATCTCGCAGGGTCTGCTGTGCCAGGGTCCCCACTCTTCCCGAACTAAAATGTTGCCTTCCTGGCAGAAATAAAGATGTTTCAAAATGTTTGAATGGTTTAGAAGATAAAGCAGTGTGTCCGAGGTGCTCACAGGCGGGCATGTTTGATGTTTAGTTATTCCCTTTGCTTCTCTGTGGACTTAATATCTTGATAATCAGCACCTGACAGGACCAGTCACAGCTGATGACCAGGAAGTGTGACGGGGGAAGACCTTTTGCGTCACGCACTGCCAATGAATCATGGTGAGTTCAGGTATGTGCACCACTGTTATATGTCCCCCTTCAATTTCTTCTCTCCCCTTCCAGAGACATTTGACTGCTGTGGCGTTTATTCAGCAGTCAGCATTCAGCATAAGTTCAGCGTTTATTTACGACGGCAATGTAGAATCATTGGAAAACCGGAGGATGAATGTGGTGGGTTGTGCAAAGACCTTCCATGTTAAAAAAACACGTTTGTGCAATGGGTGCTGATGTCCCCATTGACTGCGAAAAATGATTAATCTTCCCCTCTGTTGCTCCGTGTATTGACATTTATTTTTTCCCCTGTGACGAGTCTAGCCTTGCTGCTGTCCCACTGAGCCCCAGCTGCCTGGCTGCCCCTCCTCTCCATTTTCAAGAGCATAGGAGAAGCTCCCCAGTTTCTTGAGCGCATGTGTGTGCGCGCACCATGCCGCCAAGCTCATTTGTGGCTGATTTTTATTGAGGGCCTGGCAAATTGAACATGAGTGTCCGCGGTGCCTAATTGTCGCTACCAATTAGTGCTTCGCCCAGAAACCACAATGGCTTTACTGTAGCGAGCGGAGCGTCTCGTTGGTGCCTCCGCTGTGCTTCCGCAGGGCAGTCAAGACTCATTTAGGACTCTGACAACATGGGGCAGAAATGCCATCGGAAAAGAAAAGGAAAAAAGGATGCTTCAAGGATCCTGCAAAAAAAAAACGAAGAAAAAAGCAACAGTGATTGAAAGCGAGGTCTGTTCTGTGAAAAGCTGAATTGCCTTCTTCGTATTGTCCCCCTCGTCCGCCAGCCACACAGTGATGCACAGGGTTCAGCAGATCAGCAGCAATTAGTGGCTGAGCCGGGCT